GTGAGGGGGGTGTGTGTGGTGGGTGTGTGTGTGTGTGTGTGTGTGTGTGTGTGTGTGTGTGTGTCGGGCGGGGTGGGGGGGCAGTGTGTGTGTGTGTGTGTGTGTGTGTGTGTGTGTGTGTGATGTATCTAAACTGGATTCACTCTATATGGCTCAGTCTGTTGCTGCTTTGGAGGTCCCTCTGCTGCAGTCTCATGAGTGCTGAGATTACATGTATGTGTCACCATGATTGTGTGCTTCCATAACATCTTTAGTGTCTATCAAGTGTCTCCTTAGCCACCTTCATCATCTATGCTATTTTCAAGTGTCCTTGCATTCTAATTTTCCTTTTAAATATTATCTGTTTCCTGAGGCAAGATCTGTAGATGAGAGTGATAGGCTGTGTCCTTCGGGGCTCAGGTGAGTCCTGCACCCACACCTGCCCGTGGGGAACCCCATACCCGCTTGATCGGGGCTCCAGCCCGGCTTTGCGATGTGCCGCGTCTCGTGGGTCTGGGTGGGGCCACCTTCCGGTTCGCAGACACCCCCAGACCCGCTGGGGCGGAGGCGCCGCTTGTCTGCAGCTACCCCACCCTGGCGTTGAGGCCGCTGTTCCTCTGACCGCCGGTCTTTCGGCGTTCTGTTCTTCACTCTCATCTTTTCTACTTTGCAACTAACTAGTCGTAAGAGTTATCTGGAGTTAAGCGGACCCCGCTCTCGCTCTGTCCCAGCTGGCATGCTCCTCGCAGCTTTGGCTGCAGGCAGACCTCAGTCCAGATGTTCGTAGCCTCCTCTCCATACCAGGGCTGTCTTAACCAATCTCGGTCTGGAAGGACTGGAGGCTTGGCAGCTGGAGGATTTCCTTCCAAGAGTCCTGCTCCTCTGGGTGTCTTGCTCCAGGGCAAGTTGCAGGTTGGTAGGGAAGGATTTTAGGACTCAGGCGGGGTCTTTTATTTGTTGTCTTCAAGAAGTACTGGGGTGAGAGGGAGTGAGGTGATTTTTCTCTACCAAGTTTCCTTCTCGCTATTGAATTATATATATAAAGGGAACCTGAAAGACGTGGAATGCGAGCCGACTTGGTGAAAAATCTTCAGTCCTGGATTAATTAATTTGGTGTGGTGCTGTAAGATCGATGTTAATTGGTACCTGCTTCACGGCCTGAGATTGGCCACAGGAATGACCTCTTTTTCTAGACCTGCCTTGGAGGACTTTGGAGAACTGTTGAGAGGATGGCAAGGCAAACAGAAAAGGAACAGATCAGCAAAGAGCCCTGAGCCAAATTCTGAAACTCACTAACCCACCTCCCTTCATTCTCCCACTCCCACCCCAGGGCAGCTAGATTCTGCAGGGTGGGGTTAGCTCAAAGAGTTCCAGGATTCTCCTAGTGATCTGAGGCCTGTGACTCAGCTGTGAGAGCATGGGTGCGGCTGGCTGGTTGATACTCTGTGGATGGTTTGGACAGAATGCTCCCTGAAGGAAAAGAGGAACTGTGCCATCTTCCAGGGCAGTTTCCAAGAGGAAGTGAGTCACACTCGAACTGGCCACCAACCTGAAGGAGGGGATTCTTGACTGAACTGCCTGGGAGGGTAGTAATTAGACTGGCAGGATCTTGATAAGACCGTTGATCCTTAGCACCAGGCAGCAGGCCTCAGCTTCACTGGGGTTTGCTGCTCCACTTAAGAGGTTTGCAGTCAGTGCTGCATGTTTTTGCTCCTGAAGCTTGAGTTTCAGCTTCCAGGAGTGGATTTTTACCACTTGGACTTAATTGAGGTAGAAATGCCTGTCAGTGTGTTTTTAGCAAACTGCAAACGAGAGTGCCAGGAGTTGGAGCAGGGAGGAATTCATGTAATGCACTGAGATTTCATTACCCTGGTCCTCCCCCACAGATTCCAAGCAATGTCTGTTTAATCACCCTTTCTACATGGCATTGATGCTCCTGACAGCCAAAGAGGACTTTCTTCATGGTAACCTTTGATCCAGCAATCAGAGCTTGCATTTCAGCTCATAGGGGGTTTTGGTCTGCTTGGCATAGAGCAAATATTTGGGTTCCCTCTGATGTCTGGGTGTCTGCTCTGTGTCTTCCTGGACACAACATGAGATGGGCCCTTGTCCTCCTATGCCTGGCCTCTGGCCAGCTTCTGAGCAGTCACCCCAGTGTGGTCAGGCCCTGGGGCTGGGTGGGGCTGAGGCTGGATGCCTCCCTGATTTCCACTGACAGCTCAAGAGAGAGAGATTTTTTTTTTCAAGCACTAAGCTGATATGCCCTTGGACACAGTCCATCCATTTAGGCATAGCTAAGGGAAACAATGTGATTCTTTCAGAATTATAAAATATAAATTAATGTTCACAGTGCTGGGAAAAGCCAGACTAAAGCATGGGCTCTGCCTTGAGCTTTCAAATTTCTCAGGACTGGCAACTTTGGAATCATACATCAAAAGCAAAAGAAGTAACATACTTAGAGCCTGTCTGAGGCTCTAGTTCTCCAGGGCCATGCCACTTTTCAAAGGAGGGAGGAGAGAAGGAGAGGAAGGGGAGGGAAGGAGGGGAAGGGGGAGGGAATGAGAGGAAGGACAGAGGGAAGGAGGGTGGGAGAGAAGGGAGGGAAGGGTAGATTTGATTTCAAAGACAATATTTAGGACTTTCTATCCCTTCAACTAAATAATTCCCACCTGTCACTGTAGCTGTTGTTGGTTGGTTTTGGCTGAATCATGACAGCTCTTCACAGAAAAATGAATGTTCTTGGTTGGGTTAGAGTAGGTTTCTCAGTTCTTTCTTCCTATTGAATTGCATCTGGAACTGTCTTTTGCAGATCACATCTGTAGTAAGCAAGTTTTTTAAAAAAAATATTTGTTTATTTTTATTTTATATATATGGGTGCTTTGTTTTCATCCATACCAGAAGAGGGCACCAGCTCTCATTACAGATGGGTGTGAGCCACCATGTGGTTGCTGGGAATTGAATTCAGGACCTCTGGAAGAGCAGCCAGTCAGTGCTCTTAACCACTGAGCCATTTCTCTAGTCCCCAGTAAACAAGTTTCATTTGGTGAGAGAGCCTGAGTCAAAATCCATTATTTTAAACTCACTCCTCCTCCAAATATACTTTAAGGGTCAGATTCAAGAGCATCCTCTGGGTTCAATTAAAAAAGGAAAGAAAGAAAGGATTCTTCAAATTCCCCCAAACAAAAGAACAGAAACTCAAATGTTTTTAAATAATGAATGTTTGTGTTCACCCTAATTAATTCTGGTTGGCTTCAAGAACAGTACGATATGGACAAAATACAGATGAACAAAGTAAATCAGACCTCCAGCTTCTGAGATTTATAGCCTTGACCTGGGCATAGGTCCAGGACAGACATTTGGAATTGCTCAGGAAGAGGGACTCCTTCCTGCCTTCTGCCCCTCCCAGAAAGACCAATGGACAGAATGAGAATATTGTTGGTACTAAACCTCATAAGTGAGGTGTATAAGGTGTAAGAGAAACAAAACCAGAATTGCTTTCTGCAGAGAGGGACAGTTGAGACCCATTGCTCAAGTTAACATGTGAAGGGCATAAACACATCAGAATAAAATAGTTCAAGGAGAGGTGAGTGGGCCCAGAGGTCTGTCCTGGGAGCCAGTGAGGCAGTGGAAGGAGAGAGGAATGAAAACAAGAGAAAGAGCAGGAGTGAGAAGCATGGCCGTCAGACCAGACTTGCTTAGCAGGACACACATTTTTTTCCTTTGTGTTTGGAATGTGCTCTCTGTACCCTGCCATGCCATTCATAGGTGAACCCTGTTGAGGCCCCTTTCCCTGCCCTTCCCAGAACTCATCTCCTCTAACTGCTGAACTCTGAGCTGCAAAGCCATCAGCTGTCTAAGGATAGTCTTATCTGTATCTCAGCTACTTTGAGCCATCCATTTAGCAAATGGTATTTAGTCATCTCTCAACTGAAGCAGAGTCATATGTGGTTCTGGACTAAGGCAGCTGTAGGGCCAAGGCAGATTGGGTCTCGAACTGTATCTGATTGTGTATACCAGGTATGGAATGGGGTGTCAGCAACACTGAACAGAGCCCCCTACTTCTCAGACCAAGTCCCAAGGCCCTTGTGACAAAGTATTACCCAACTAGAAGGGGAAGACCCAACCCATCTGGAGTGGAGTTTGTGGGGTGTTAGGTGGAGTGCAGGTGCCAGATTCAGGTTCCTGAAAAGCTTGCACTCTAGTAAATGATTATGGAACTGTCTGTAGTGAGCGTTGTAATAACAGCCCCACCCAAACAGTGGAGGCTAGGCTGGGACCACTTCACCGGAGAAGTACTGAGTGGTTCAGTCATCCAACAGAGCCTCATTATCACGTTTTCCTTTGTCTTCCTTTTTTGATTTGTTATTTTGATTCTTGAGACAGAGTCTATACAGCCTAGACTGGCCTAGAAGGCTATTTTTTCCTGCCTCAGCCCCATTGCACCTCTGAGTGCTAGGTTCATAGTTCTTGGGACTTCCCCTACCTTACCTGGATCCTTGGCCTTACTTTAAAACTTTCTCCAGCACAATTCCTTGTTCTGGAACCAAGGGCATCCCCTGTGAAATTCAACTATTTTCCTTTTCTGGCCAGCCCCTATCTCTTGTGTTCTTATTGAAGTTCTCTTGAACAAGCAGAGAGCCAGTTAGCTGCTCTATTCACCTGTGTGGAACAAAACAGCTAGGGCAGGCAAGCAGGAAGGACAAAAGGGCAGACACGGGCTTCAGGAAGGGACTCTGCCACTTCATAACCAGCTGGGTAAGGAAGGAAGGAGTGGATTGACCTCAGACCTGAGAACCAGTTCTTGGCTAAGGCAACCTGACCTCACCCTCCTGAAGAGGACATTCAAGCGAGGCCAGGACTTCCTTGGCTATCAACTTGCATTTCCAGAGAGTACTAAGATGACTGTTTTTCTATTTGGGGGATCCCTATCCTGGCCATTCCTCTTCCTTCTCTAGCTCTGCAATACACTTTCCTGATGTCTGTGAGGAAAGTACAATGGGTGTCCACGCAGTTCTAACATCTGGGATGTCATCTGGAATCTTCGCCTTCAGACATGGTAGGAGAGCTCTCTGGCTCTGAATGAGGACATAGACATTTTAAACTTCACTGGTGTCTGGCTCCTTTCCTGGATTGTTAAAGGGCTGAGGTGGCACCCCACATCCTTCTTTAGGTGGCTTACTCAGTTCAGTTCAATTCCTGCACTTTCAAATCAATCCAAGCAAGGCAGACTTCCACTAAGCTCTCTGCCACCGCCAAAAACCCATATCTAGGAGTGGGGAGGTGGGGCGGATCTGAGCAGTACAGGACGAGAGGGAAAAAGGAGTGGCTCTTCTGAATTTCATGGCATTAGACACCTTGAATTGTAAACTTGTTGCTATCCAAGTCATGCAGATGAATCATGCCGGATCCTGATTGACAGTGTTCTCAGAAGTGGCATTTTCTGTAGCTGGTTCTTCTACCTTCTTGGAGACGAAGAGGAACAAGTTACAACCTTTAAATCTAACTTTTCAGTGCTAGCCTTCAGCACTACACCTTTGACTCTGTAAAAGATAATACTTAGAAGCCAGGCCTAGTGGTTCAGACCTGCAATACCAGCTACTCACGAGGCAGAAACAGGAGGATCTTGAGTTAAAGCCATCCTAGGCAACTTAGTGAGACTGTCTCAAAATAGAAAGTGAAAAGAGAGCTGGGGGATGTAGTTCAGTGATAGGAGATGGGCACAGGTGAGTGAGGTTCTAGGTTTCAGTGTGTGTCGGGGTGGGTTTCAGAACTTGGGGATCTGTACTGAACAAGCATCTGTCAGCATCAGGAATCAGACCAAAGCACACCCCGAATTCCCATCATTGCTCTTCAGTGGGGGAAGGAGCCAATCTCTCCCTCCTTCTGTACTCAAAACTATATGTGGACACTGAGCTCCATTAGGCATGGGGTCTTGATGAAACATTTGTCCCAGTTCATTATACCAGCATGCGGTGACCTAAAATTCCTTTCCTCTCTTTAAACTCCTCATCAGGAAAGACCCTTACTCTCTCACTGTACCCCCAATTTATGAGGAAAACGCTCTGTATAGTCCTACCAGAAACATATTCAGCACCCAAAGGAGCTTGTGTACCCTCTTACCTATTCCTTCCCTGCTGAACTTGAAAATGAATGTATGAAGCTTACTCAGGCAGAGCAGCTGCACTGACTGCCAGAGAACAAGTTCAGATCGTTAGGAGAGTATACATTTCCAGCAGACATGTCCATCTGTAAGTACATTTCTAATCTCTGAAATTGTATTGGTTCAGGCTCCTGTGGCATGGGTGGCGGGATGAAGTTTCTGTATTAACCAGGCTGGACTCGTGGCTTGTTGGGGTTCAGCCATTTCTAAGAGTCACATTTTCAGTGCCAGGGGAAATATGGAAACATCATCTTTCATCCAGTGCTTTCCAGTAAAGGAGCAGCTCTTGTCTTGCTTTTCTAGAAAGTTAGGCCTTCTTATCTTGATTAGGAACCGAGAAAAGAAGCTGACAGTCAGGCAAATCCCACATTCTGAGGTCCAGCACCTGAAGTGTCTTGCCACCAGCAAAAGACCCCAAATAGGACCTGAGATTGATTGAATTTTATTGGAAAGGTGATTAGACCTATTTTATCCTTTCCGACCACCCTCTACAGACTTCCAGCATGTGGTTTAAAGGTTAAGGCAAACTCTTTCTTTGTGTCCATTAACAGGTTTCAACAGACCTCTTCAAGATGCCGTCTCAGATGGAGCATGCCATGGAAACCATGATGCTTACATTTCACAGATTTGCGGGCGATAAAGACTACTTAACAAAGGAGGACCTCAGAGTGCTCATGGAAAGGGAGTTCCCTGGGTTTTTGGAAGTAAGTGTGGAAAGTCTCAGACCAGACATAAAAATCCAAGGTCCCTTCCCTTGTCCTTCCATTGTCTCCATCCCTGTAGGCTCACCACTTGGAAGTGTTTCATTCATTTACTTAGTAGACAGTGCTAGGATAGCACAGGGGCAGCAAAGTGGAAAAGGCCCCACCCCTGTGCTCTGATTGCAGATGAAAATATCCACACCCACTGGAACAACAAGAGGGAAAAGACTTTTCACAAGGGTGTCATGGATCAAGGTGCCACACCTCAGGTCCCTAACACTAATGACAGTGGTTTCACATTCTTGTCATATGCCACTTGAACAACTTGAATCTCCTTTGTGTGTGGGTGTGAGCTTTGTGTTGACCCTGGAGCCCCATTCATGCAAAGCCAGGGCTCTACTGGGAAACTTCCCTCTACTCAATCTACTCAAATCTTCTTAAAATCCCTATTTATAGAAAGACTTTTCTTCTTTTTCCAGCTCTAACCCATAAAGAGATCTTTTTTGTTTGTTTGTTTGTTTTGTTTTTTGAGACAGGGTTTCTCTGTGGCTTTGGAGGCTGTCCTGGAACTAGCTCTTGTAGACCAGGCTGGTCTCGAACTCACAGAGATCTTCCTGTGTCTGCCTCCCGAGTGCTGGGATTAAAGGTGTGTGCTACCAATGCTCACATAAAGAGATCTTGTTAATTGTTGGCTGAATCAGGGCAAAATGTCACTCCAGATAATTGATTTTTACAATGAAAATGTCAACTTAGGAGCCTAGAAGTATAGTCTAGGTTTTACCTCCCTTTGATCACACTGAACAACCCCTGAAGACTAGGACTCCTCAGATATGCCACTCAAGACAATAGTCAGCTAGGCATGGTTGTCTTTTGACTTTGTGGGTCCTCAAGAGACAGTTGTTGAATTTAATGCTCACCCAAGACAAAGCATAGCTTGATATAATAGCAGACTGTGGTATGATCCCTTCTTTTCCTGGAAAGAAAGGATGGTTCTTGTACTGGGTGTTCAATAATGCATTAGTTTCTGAAAGGTAAAGGTAAAAGGCTGGATCTAGCCTCTTGACATTTACCTGATAAATATCACGTTATCTAAGGTCCTGGCCCTTACACTAATAAACACGGGGCTTTGGAGAAGATTGCTTTTACATATTGTCAATATCAGTTAAATAAATGGCCTGGCCCCTCCCTTCAATCACCCAAATGCTATCTCAGTGAGCTGGAGTGTACAGTTCCTCTGCTGGCATAAGGCACTGTGATGCAGTCCCAGACAAGGGCTCAGAAGATCTAGCTGTGGGCTAACAATAGGGGCTAACAACTACAGAGTCCTGGTTCCCTCCTCTCCAAATTGAGAGCACTGAACACAATTATCTGCATGCTCACTTTTAACTTGCTATGATCCTTCTAGACAAGCATAAAATGCAAGAGCAAAATGTGCTCATTGTAGGCCAGCCCGTCACATCTACAGAGGCATTCTCAACACAGACCCTTCCATGCTCAAGGTTTTGTGACATGAGAAATATAAAGGATGTTTGCAATGGGGTGTGCTAAACACAGCAGAGTAGCTTATTCCAGGCACAGACAGGGTCATAATTCTAGACACTTATTCCCTGTGTTAACGGAGCATTTTGTTTCTAAAGTAGATGGCTTATGTCATCCAAATTTCACTCATTCTGACCACAACCAGGAAGCAGGGGGTGAGGCCAGAATTAGTTACATAGAGCAGGTTTCAGATGATAGCTTAGGGCAGGAGTTTTTTCAGTCTCAAGTAGACAATATGACTCCTTTACCATAAGAGATCTCTGAGTGCAATTTGTAAGCATTGAGCACACTTAAAATATTGCACATCGGCTACCCAATGAATTATGCAGGCATTGGAATTTGTAAGTATTTTGTGCCTTTTAACCATCTCGACTGCGTCAGAGGTTATTTCCCTCTCTGAGCTAGCAGGGACCTATACGAGTAACCACACTTATGCACTTCTAACCAGTGTGGCAGCAAAAGAGATAACCAAGCTAATCACCATTGAAACAAGATGAGAGTCAAGGCATCTGCCTGTCTCTCCCTACCCCACACACTCATGCTATGCATTGAAGGAGTTTATCATTCTATTACACGAATTCATTTGAGTGTGAGTGTGTGTGTGTGTGTGTGTGTGTGTGTGTGTGTGTGTAAAGGCCAAAGTTTGATATTAGGTATCATCCCCCAATCACACTCTGCTTTTCTTTTTTCTTTTTTACATTTATTTGTTTATTTTGTGTGTGTACTTTAGCAAGCATGTGGAGGTAGTCATTAAACAGCAAAAAGTACCCTTACCCACTGAGCTATCTCACAGGCCAAATCACATTTTTTGAAATAAGGTCTCTCTCTCTGAACCTGGACCTGGTCAATTTGGCTAGACTGGCTGGCTAGTAAGCCTCATGAACCTTTCTGTTTCTGCCTCCCTGTTGTGGGGATTCCAGGAGTGCACTGCTGTGCCAACTTTTATTGTGGGTGCTGTGGATCCACTCAGGCTCTCACACTGGCACCTTGGCAGCTGAGTCACCCTCCCAGCCACACACACACACACACACACACACACACACACACACACACACACAAGTTTTGAAACTTGTCCAGTGTATAATATTCAGTGACAAGAATACCAATGACAAGAAAAAGATGGCATGGGTTTACCAAGTCAAAGAACGGGAAAAGGGCCAGGAGCATGTAACTAGCACGTGGAGGCCCTGGTTTCAGTCTGTGAGGAATGGAAGGCAAACTAAAAAGGGCACTGACATCCAAACCCCTCTATTCATAGTTGACATGTGAAGACAAACTAAAGTGTTTGATGGATGCTGGCTACATAGTTAATATGATAGATATGACACACGCTTGCTGGGTCCCAGCTGTGGAAAGGAAAAAAGAGCTCTCTGCATCTTCTCTAAAGCTAAACTCCAGTCCTCATTAGCACCTGCTTAGAACAGATACAACAGTGACCTGAAACTTACTCCATGGGCCATCCGAGGCGATTTCTTCAGGAAGAGTTCCCCTTTTACGGATCTGACTATCGTGTCAGGAAAGAAAATTTGTTTTCCAAAAAATAGAGTTTGAAGTAGAAAATGGCCATGTTGGTTCTTAGGCACAATATAAACATGATGTTACTGAAAGGGGATTCCCAAGAAAAACAAAAACATGCTGATGAGTTAAAAGGTCACTTAGGACCTAAATACTTGAGAGCTTAAATACTTGAGAGAGTAAGCTTGTGCATGTAGTTGTTTGCATCAGATAAGCTAGAGTCACCTATGTCATCAACTGACATTGTTTTCCTTTGTGCTTTCCTTCTTTTTTATTCTATCTATTTATTTATTTTAGAATCAAAAGGATCCCCTGGCTGTGGACAAAATAATGAAGGACCTGGACCAGTGCCGAGATGGCAAAGTGGGCTTCCAGAGCTTTTTATCACTGGTTGCAGGGCTCATCATTGCATGCAATGACTATTTTGTAGTACACATGAAGCAGAAGGGAAAGAAGTAGGCCACATGGAGCCCTGGTCCTCCCTCCCACAGGGCCCCTTGAGGAGCCTGCCTCGCTGCTTCTCAGGAGCAGTTCAGGACCTGCAGGAAATGTGCAAATAACATCCAACTCCAATTCCACAAGCAGAGAAAGAAAAGTGAATTCAGTGACAAAGAAGCTTTGGGTTTTTTATATTGTTTGCATCCTGCTGCCCTCAATAAAGAGAGTCCCCCCCTTTTTTTTCTTAGTTCTGAATTTGAGGTGGTGTGTTTGTTGCTTCTTCTGAAATGCTTCCTCCAGCTTCTTTGGCTCATGAAGAGTCAGCATGGCCTCCAGCAGCCAGCACACAGTAGGGCTGTCTTCCAGCACACAGCAGAACCAGCAAAATGAGAATGCACTCTCCACTCAGGCTTGGAGTCTGCTTTTTCTGTTTGCTCATGAAGCTGTCTATGTGAAGGACTAAAACTCAAAGTGTTACAAGAGGGCTCTTCAAGACCATATTCTAATTCTGTAACTCCTCAGCAAAGTCTTAGCCAGTTAAATGAGTGCCTTTGTAGCCAGCACCTTGGATACCTGAGATATCTGAACCCATTTTCTCATTGCAAAACTACAGCAAAATCTAGGGCCAACATAAGCCCATCAGAAAATTAGCCAAAGGAGGAAGGGATATAAGATGATCCTTTAGTGATAAAATGCCAACAACAGTGATTCAGTTAACGCCCAGATGTCAAGAAATATGCTAGGTGTGACATAGATACACTGCATGGATTTTGGATAAAAATCAAGTAACAGTACTGATGCTGGCAAACAATACAATGTTTTCCCTAGCCTTTTGTATGCTTTTTATGAGCTTTAGCACAATATATTGCATATTACATGCTTATTAATGGAGAGACAATATATGAATTCCATGAATTGACACATTGAACTCTTCCAATTAACAGCATCAGCAACAATGGAAACTCTTAAAACATTTTTCTTTGAAACAGGTCTCACATTTTCAGAGTGCCTCAAATGTGTTATTTGAAGTGGTAAGTAGCTGAGAGTAACCTTGAACTCCTGATCCTCCTGCCTCTCTCTCCTAAGTGCTGGGATTACAGGTACACACCACCATGCCCAGAAAAAGTCACTTTTAGGACTTTTGCACACATCAGTGTCATTCCAGGGAAAACTTCCAATGTAATTATGGGAGGAAGTTCAGTACAAACTCATCCACCATTGTATGGAAAACCTTATAAACGGGAAGATGATAGTTCAGAGCTAACCTTAGGGAAAAATCCATCCTAAGGCAAGAGTAAAACTGCAACATTTTGTCCCCATCATCAGGTAAACAAGTCATGAAAAATCACAGATTTGCAGCCATAGGATTATATCAGCAGACTTACCAAGGCATTGACTAAATGGAGGAGTTGAGTTTAGACTGGCTAAATGGTTTAGACTGATTCCAGAAATGACATCCAAATCCATCTGCTAGAGTTGGACCACCAAGGTTGCTACTAGGTCAGGAAGCTGCCTCCTGAACTGAGAAGCCATAGAATCTTACAATCCATGGCACAGCCCACACAGACAACAGATGCTTATTGCCCTGGTCCTTCCCCACATGACTTGGTCCCACATCCAAGCTTCAATCAACAAAGCTCAAACTTCAAGGGAGTCAGAAATAGAGTTTGATCTTTATCAGATCCTGCATACCTGTGTTGCATGCAGATCCACCCTGTCTGTCACAGTGTAAGAAATGAAACCTAACGTGATGGTTGATTTTCAAAGTGCCTTGAGTCCACTTAGGTCTAGCTATGGATGAAGGCCCCAGGCCCCAGCTAATGTTTGCTAGTCTAGACACCCCTACCTACACTAGAAATTTAGAGTAAAAATTATTTAACTCTATTTACTTAGTTTTTTACATCCCAAACTCCACTTTCCCCTCCTTTTTCTCCTCCCAGTATCTTCCCTTACCCCCCACCCCCCACATCTAGTCCTCTCCCATTTCTCTTCAGAAAAGAGCAGGCCTCCCACGGATATCAACCAGGCATATTATATCAAGTTGCAGTGAGACTATCCTATCGACGCTGGAGGAGGCAACCCAAATGAAGAAAAGGGTCCCAAAAGCCAGCAAAAGAGTCAGAGACAGCCCCTGCTCCCACGGTTAGGAATCCCACAAGAACACCAAGCTACACATCTGTAGTTTATGTATAGAGGGCCAAACATTAGACCAAGCTCAGGGAATCCTGCTGAAGAGGTGGAGGAAGGATAGTAGGAGCCAGAGGGGTCAAGGATACAACAAGAAACCCACAGAATCAACTAACTTGGGCTTACAGGAACTCACAGAGACTGAACCCACAATTAGGGATCCTGCATAGATTAAAAAACTATTAATGACCAAGCTTGCCTAACAACCTGCAGACATTACAAGTCCATGCCTCTAACAATGTTTAAAATAAACAGGTTGTAAAACATAGGGATAAACCCAGTATGACTTTGTGGACAAATTGACAAATGCAAGGGGCAGATAATGATATGATTGCACACTCCTGATTGCTCAGACAATGAGAAACATGGTGGAGGGTCCTGTGTTCAGGATTTAAGAACTGTTCTTTGCACTCCTGTGCAAGATCCCGCTTGTTTATCTCTGTTAGAAGCACCCGACTTTGCAGGGTTGTGAAATAAACTGCCTCACTTTTGCTATTCTGAGTCTCCAGTACTCAATTCTAGGTGGGTGTGTCTTCATTCTTCATACTAATGAACATCTTTAAAAGATTTATTTTTATTCTATATATATGGCCTTTTGCCAGGATATATTTCTGTTCACAGTGTGTGTACTCCTGGAGGCCAGAAGAAAGCATCAGATCTCCTAGAACTAGGGTTACAGATGGTTGTGTGCTGCCATGTGTGTTCTGGAAATTGAACCAGGGTTATCTAGAAGATCATCAAGCATTCTTCACCATAAACCATCTCTTCAGCCCCAGTGATTACTAATTTAAAGAAACCTTCCAATGTGGCTTTGAGGAGAAGCGACCCTAAAAAGTAAGGTCTTTGAAGGCCATAGAAAGTAGAGAAATCAACTGGCCCATCACAGTGGAGAAAGGCTGTCTTCCATGGGAATGTGTGCAAGTACGGACTTACCACTTGGGATTCTCTGCCTCTTGGGGGAACTGCTTTTAGTGAGCATGGTTAGTGGTCAATCCACAAGTGGGAAGGCAAGATTAACACAAGATGGTGAGCATGTGCCCAGATACCCCAATCTATGAAAACATGCATGCTGCCAGGGGTGTCCAACCTTTTGGCATTGAGACATGACACTGCTGTCATCTACATGTGTCATCTACATTGTACTCAAGAACGGTGCAATCAAGTTTTTAAAAAGTCACAAAAAATCCTCACAGTGTTTATAATGTTGTGTTAGGCTGTATTCATAATCTCCCGGGACTGCATGTGGCCAACAGCTGGACACCCCTTCCAGTGAAGGCTTTTTACTCACAACAGAACAAGAACTATCCCACCAGCAGGAAGAAGTCAGGATGAGGAAAGGAATCCTAACTAACATCTGCTCTTCATAGTGGGTGTGTAGACTTGGGGAAGAAATGTGTTCTTCCCAGCAGATTCCCCCACACTCTGGCATTCAGAGAGGTTCCTGTTGCCAGGGATTCTGTGTTCAGGATGGGTGTGCCCATGTATGTTGAGGGGAGGGCTGAAACACCCTCCTCACGTTAGCCCCATTGGTTAACATGTTTGTTGGGACACTAGCGCGCGCGCACACACACACACACACACACACACACACACACACACACACAAAGAGCAGCATTTATGGTGTGAAATCCTACATGGCTGTTAGTGCCAACCAAAACAGAGTTCCCACAATCTGACCTGCAGAGACAGCCGGCTAAGCTTTGGGGCTCGCAGCCTAACAGCTCCCAGAAGGCAAAGCTGAAACTCTGCCAAGCACCAAGAAGAGCAACCACTGGAAAATTCCACTCATTCTACTACATGACTGAGTTGTAAATTGGATCCCATCATCTCCACACCCAGTTGTGAAGGAGGAACAGACAGCAGTGTAGAAAGTCCTTTTCAAACACACTGGAGAGCTGATCCTGTAAGCCAGCCAGCTAATGTTCTCTCTTAGACCTGCTCCCTTGTGTACCTCTTGCACACCAGCCAACAATCTATGATTCGGTCTTTCCCTCCCGAATCTAGAATACTGAGGACAAGACTGTAACCTTTGTTCTCAAAACGACTAAGTACTTTATCCAGCTCTTAACCCCAGAGAGAAAGCAGATGATAGAAATTCACATACTTGGCACTATGTGAGTGACCCTAGGCAAAGTTCTGTAGCAGAGACAGAGGAGTAGATAGCATAGCACCTGCTCAAGATTGTGATCTAAGTTGTAAGATAATAGATAAAGCAGACAAAAAGTTTAATAAAACCCAACAGAAATTGGCAAAGATGACATGTGATGGGTACTCTGGGTCACTGTTGGCAGGAATATAAGCTATGAAGCCTTTGAACATGCAAAAGTTGGCAAAATGGGATCCTTTAATTCTGTGCCCCTTTGATGTATTTTCTTTGATCCAGTATTCCTAATTTGGGGACTTTATCTTACTAAAGTAAGCAAAGACACAAAATTCATAGACAGAGATATTTGATCCAGCATGACTTAGAATAGTTATAACCTGATTTATGGTATAACCCGATTTAAAGTGAAATCACTTTATGCAATTATACATAAAAGAGTGAAAACCATGACTTTGAAAATATTAAATGCAATGGAGACATGTCTATACCAAGTAAAGCAGGCTTCAAAATTAGTACATAGTAGGATTCCTTTCATTTGAAAAGTGTGTACTTATTCTTGCATATGCACACATGAACCCCAAAGACTAAAACATCTACCTAGGTTTTATTTCCAGGGTAGGAGTTTCTGGGGAAGGGGAGTGTCATAACCATAAATATGTTTGGCTTTATTTTAATTTTCTTTCTATATATACTGCTATGTCATCTAACTTCTCTGCAATAATTCTACTTTTCCAATCTGGAAAGCAAAAACTCCAAATTATGTATTTTGAACACCATGTGTTGCAGGCATGATTTCATATGCCTGAAATTTCAACACTGAGAGGCTAAGGTAGGAGGATTGTCATGAGTTCAAGGTCAGCCTGAATACATGATGAGGCTCTGTCTCCAAAATAAACCATCAAGAGCTGGAGCTTGATGTGGTTGGGACAGGCCTGTCACCCCAGCACTAGGGGAGATAAAGTAA